TAAAATGCAATTCATTGTTTGGGTGTTCACATGCTTCAGGATGGGTCTGATTGAATTGCAGATATACTGTATGATCCCTTATATCCACATCCTGTTATTAAAAATGTATCTGTATCTCCCTGCCCCTCCTTAGAAGATGACCCTACCCACAAAGTAGATGACAGCAACACCCGGATTCTGATTGGTTGTTTAGTGGCCATCATCTTCATCCTTGTGGCCATCATTGTCATCATCTTGTGGAGGCAGGTGTGGCAGAAGATGCTGGAGAAGGTGAGCCCACCAATTACAATGCACCAAGTGAACACCAGCTCACGGATACATGTGTATATTTTGCACAATTTCATTTAGATTCCTGAATTTTCTTTCGGGAGGTGATTAGACCTGTTCCTTCACCCCCACATCCTTTATTCTGTAGGCCTCTCGTCGGATGCTGGACGATGAACTAACTGCTAGTTTGTCAATACAGAGCGAGACGTTCGCCTACAACCACAACCAGTCGAGCACAACCAGTGAACAGGAGTCCAACTCCACCTACGAGCGCATCTTCCCCCTCGGTCCAGACTACCAGGAGCCTTCACGCCTCATATGTAAGCTCCCGGAGTTTGCACAGAGCTCGGAGGAGCCTGGTAGGTGGACATGCATGTCTGCTTTCATATATACAATTTAAATAGATATGCTCAATCTCATTCTTGTTTACTGTGTTTCAGCTTCCACTTGCACAGCAGCATCCAAATCCACCACATCTACTGTGGTCCAGGATGGCGCCCCTCACTATGCAGAGGCAGACATTGTGAACCTGCAAGGTGTGACAGGAAGCAACACGTACGCCATCCCTGCATTGACCATGGACCTGCTGTCAGGGAAGGACGTCGCAGTGGAGGAGTTCCCACGAAAACTGCTCACATTCAAAGAGAAGCTGGGAGAAGGCCAGTTTGGAGAGGTGTGTGCTCTTTACCAGACTTCTACAGCTTTATTTAAAAAAAAAAAAAGAACAAATAACAATAATGATAACAATTATGAACTTTATTACTGCAGAACCTATGAAAACCAGAGTTACAGTGTGCTTTACAAATTAAACTATAAATTGCATAGTAGCAAACATAGAAGGGCCAGCTCATATCATCAGTAATCCAATAAAACAAAACAGATACAAGAAAAACATTAAAAGAATAAAATTAATAACATAAATAAATAAAAACTGCTAAATTCTAGTATACTCAGGGGAGTTTTTATCCACTTAAAAAAAACTGAACATGAAAAACAATTATACTTGTAACTACCTACACACCTGAATTTGAGAAGATCCTTGAGATACTTACTGTATGTTGTGATTTAAATTTGAAATTGAATCCTCTCCTCTCCTCTCCTCTCCTCTCCTCTCCTCTCTTCTCTTCTCTTCTCTTCTCAGGTGCACCTGTGTGAAGCAGAAGGAATGCAGGATTTCATGAATAAAGAGTTTTTATTTGACATCCCAGAGGACGTGCCAGTTTTAGTGGCGGTGAAGATGCTCCGTTCAGATGCCAACAAAAATGCCAGGTATTGACTGGGTGCCTCTCGTAGCCTGTTTCCTGTTCTGTAAATATGACTTTGATATAAATCTGATCTGTGTAAAATGAGTCACTTAACTCAAGCATATGATTTTCTGTTGGTAGGAATGACTTCCTGAAAGAGATAAAGATCATGTCGCGTCTGAAGGACCCCAACATCATTCGCCTCCTAGCTGTGTGCATCTACAGCGACCCGCTGTGTATGATCACAGAGTACATGGAGAACGGAGATCTCAACCAGTTTCTGTCCCGTCACGAACCCGAGGGACAGCTTGCTCTGCTCAGCAACGCACCTACTGTCAGGTGATTAAGTGGCTGATGTAAATACATGTTTACTTCTCTTTTGTTTTCCTTCATGACCCATTAAACTATATCTTCTCTTTCATTCCCAGCTTCAGTAATCTGTGCTACATGGCCACTCAGATAGCATCAGGGATGAAGTACCTCTCCTCTCTAAACTTTGTCCATCGGGACTTAGCCACGCGAAATTGCCTGGTGGGCAAGAAGTACACGATAAAGATAGCTGACTTTGGCATGAGCAGGAACCTGTACAGTGGTGACTACTACCGCATCCAGGGCAGAGCCGTGCTCCCTATACGCTGGATGTCATGGGAGAGCATCCTGCTGGTGAGGACTAATACTTGATCTATAAAGAAACATGTTCACAGTCATGTTTGTGCAGTGTAATTGTTGAAACTAACATATTTGCAGACTATGCTGATCACTATTTACACCATCTTGTTTTGCAGGGTAAATTCACCACAGCTAGTGATGTGTGGGCCTTCGGGGTGACCCTGTGGGAGATACTAAACTTCTGCAAAGAGCAGCCATACTCTCAGCTCACTGATGAGCAGGTGATAGAGAACACAGGAGAGTTTTTCAGGGACCAGAAAAGACAGGTGAGTGCCATTCCAAATTATCAACTAGACCATTAGAGCACATCTACCAAGGCCCACAGTCAAATTTCATACAATTCTAAATTCTAAATATGCCAGATTTTTTTCATTAAGATCCATGAATTACTCGTCATATCTCACAATATTAATCACTCTGATCCACATCTGCACCACAATATAATGTGGCTGACCTATACAGTATCCTTTCACCAGTTTCATGGAAATCTGTTCTGTTATTTTTGCGTAAACTTGCTTACAAAGCAAACATAACCTCCTTGGCGGAGGTGACCTTTGAATCCAAGGCCTTAATTTCTCCCTCCCTCCCTACCGTCTAGATCTACTTGCCTCAGCCTGTGCTGTGTCCAGACCCGCTCTACAAGATCATGCTGAGCTGCTGGAGGAGGAATACCAAGGAACGGCCCTCTTTCCAGGAAATACACCAAGCCCTCCTGGAAATACAGCCTTAAGTCGGGGCTATGTTTTCAGACAGTGATTCCCAGTCTGCTTATCTCTGGAAGAAACGGTGCTCAGCTAAAGCAGCAGACACACTCCAGGTTCAAGCCGCCTTGTCTTGAGGGCGAGAGCCACCTGTGGGCTACAAGCTACAATCTGGGAAACACTGTTCCAAGGACTTAGCACACCTCAAAGATGGACTAGCAGAGACATTTTGTGTGTGTGTCATTTTGATTTTAATCAGCACAATTACGTTGATAAGACGTCTCATAGAAAGGCAGATATTCTTAAGAAAATCAATTCTGTTGTATTGTACACCAACCCTGAAAACACATGAAACAAAGATGATTACGGTTGTGTGGTGACACGTGTTGTGCAAATCAAAATTAAATGTAGCAAGTGACCTACGGCACTTTTTTGAAAAATATATTTTAATTTTGTTGATGAGTTTAGATTTCCCATGTTGCCACCGTGCTTGGTAAACAAACGTATGAGACATTGTAGAAGAACTGTCTTCTTGAGGACTGCTTGAATGTAGAAGGGAAAAGTGCAGCGATCCATTACTGTTACATTTCATTATATTTCAAGTGTTTCATCTCAGTCACTCGGACAAACCTCCACACGTTTAAACAAGAACATCGAGTAACTCAAGTCTTTCTCATCTCCCTGCAGTTTTCCTACAGTGATCTGAACACGACATGTATATGACTGTGTATATTCAATAGATAAGTCTAAATCTCAAATATCAGTATTTTGTATTTTATATTTATATGTTCATATGTGTCTGTTCTGGTTATGTTTTGTGTATTAATATGCTCTTAAAGTTGAAATATCATGTAATTTTCTTTGTAAAACAAAATCAGGAATCTAGGCTGGGCTGTGTTGGTTACCAGTATGTTTTCGGTGTGTTTCGTTGAAGCGATGTCACTGAGTGTGTTGTGGATGTTGAACAAGAGAAAGTAAATTGTCTTTTAAAAGAGGAATGAAGAAGAACATTAAAGGTCCAGTGTGTAAGATTTAGGTGAAAGGGATCTATTGGCCAAAATTTAATGTAGAATTATCCTCACAATGTTTTCACTAGTTCATTTCATCTAAATTGTATGAATTGTAGTTTTCTTTACCCCAGAAAAGGCCCTTTATATTTAAATACTTTATATTAACATCGAGGGGGTCCTCCCTACGGAGGCCGCCATGTTTTTACATTAGTCCAGACTGGACAATCTAAACACCTTTTGAGTTTTTATAACAATTCAAGGTTCTTTTTCAAGTTTGAAAGGGGAGAGTGAGGTGAGGGGTGCTCAGCTGCAACATGAAACTTCAACACTAGATATCACAAAATTCTACACACTGTACCTTTAAGTTTAAATCATGTGTTTAGTTGGTATGACTGCTGCAGATCACATTCACAGTGGTTAAGCTCATTCAAACACATTGTAATGACTCATCAATGGGAATTAGTTATCAGCAGTCAACTCGCTCTTTCTGTTACTGATCTATGTGTTTTCCTGTGTTTTTCCATATGGAATAAAGCTGTGTGTTCTTTGTTTTACTCTAATAGCTTGAATGTCTTACTGCATACCACTGTTTGAGCTACATCAGCTGTATTTACAATTTCTGCACTCTTATCAGAGGCCTTTGTCCCACTTACCTCGTACGTTAAAGACAATTCTATCCATGGCGCATGGCATCTCAGCCTTTATCTTTCACTACTCTGCAATCTCATGTACTATCTGGTTTGAAGACAAATTCCTCCTTCATGGCATTAACAATCTTCTCAGTGTCATAAATGAGTGTAGAGCTGCAAAAATGTTTTTTTTTTTTATTGAAACTTTGTACTCTTTGTACTTTTTAGTGAGAATGTTTTTTTATATAAACTAAAGCTGTACATTGATGGACAAATTACAAAATAAACTTAAACAGGGAAGTGTAAACCTCTCTCTGTGTGAGCTCCTGTCTTATTTATCAGAGCTGTATATTGTAAACTGTGTGGGCGGTGCTTGAAGCTTACCAGAATGGTGTCAGGATCTCATTGGCTGGATCCTGCTAGAGTGTCCAATCACAGGATGGAGGTGGAGAATGAAGACATGCACACATGGAGCAGACACAGAACTTGTTGCATGTTTAGAACATTGGTCTGTAAAATTTGTGTTTTCTGTTTGTTTCCAGTTTGGACCTGAAAAGATGAATAAGGTGGTTTTGGTGACGGGAGCAAATAGGTAATGACTGTATTTATTATTGTTGCTATTCACATGAAGTCTGGCATCTCAAGTGGATATTATATTAATAACTTTCTCTCAATATATTAAATCATATTTTAGATCTGTTTAGTATTTCATTTACATATTGTTTATTTATTTGCCTCTGAAATCTCTTTATAAAGATAGTTTCAAACAAAATGGTTGCTCAGTTATATAACTTTTAGTACAAGAAAGTACAGTACAGGTACTGTGTGGTTATAGTAATACGTGTCCATGGTATGTGTCTCTCCCTGCAGTGGCATCGGTCTGGCGCTTTGCGAGCGTCTCCTCTCCCAGGACTCAGAGGGCCTGCAGCTGTGTCTGGCCTGCAGGAACATGCGTCGGGCTCAGGCTGCTCGCGCTGCCCTCCTCACGTCTCACCCCGCGGCTCAGGTGGCCCTGCTGCAGCTGGACACCAGCAGCCTCTCCTCTGTCATCAGCGCCGCACAGGAGGTCAGGCTCAGGTAGTAGAATGGCCTCACACACACACGTATTTGAATAATCATGGAACAGATTCTTTATGTGTGTGTTAGCAAGCAACTAAATAAACATCTGTGCCTTTGTTTGTCATCTGCAGGTATAACCGGTTGGATTACCTTTACCTGAACGCAGGTATCATGCCAAACCCCCAGTTTGATGTAAAAGCCTTCTTCAGAGGCCTCTTCTCTAGGTATGTTTTTGATTTTAGATGTTCCTCTATATCACTGCACATGATAGTTTTATAATCTGACTCATCCTAAATGCTTCAGTCATCTTCATCATTTCTCTGATGCTTCTATTTTAGCAATATTGTTACCATGTTCGCCACCGGTGAGGGGATTCTGACACAGAGGGACGGCATCACCTCTGATGGCCTGCAAGAAGTTTTCACAACCAACCTGTTTGGTCACTTCCTACTAGTCAGTCACTGCTACTTCAAACTAATCTATAGGTCTGATTCACACGTAGAACTAAAGTGCATTCCCTTCATTTCTTTTGTCAGCTGCTTGCCCTTGTGGACCAAATATAGGTGATACTCGATCTGACTGTCACTGAGCAGTAATGCTCATTAAAAATTAACAGTGCGCACTGTTCCGGTCATAAGGTCACTGCAGACAGTTTTCTGCTTAGTGTGCGTTTGCAGGTGAATTGTGTCCATCATATCAAGTTGCCATCAAAGAGGAACCTGCTCAAACGATCAGATATTTATCTTTCTTGCTATTTGCACATGGATTTGAGTGGAAAGAAATTTTGCTTGTGAGACCGAGAAAAGGTGACTTTTAGTGTGGTCCTATTGAAAAAGCTCAATGAAGTTAAAATGTTAAGGGGAATTTACCTTTGCTGATTAGTTTCATTCATCTTAAAGGGCATGAAGTGTGTATGAAAAAAGATGCCATATTATTGTCTTTACTCCCTGTAAGTCTCTTAAGAGTCCGCTGAAGATGTAAGAGTGAATTCATATTTAAAAGAATTACACTTTACCTCTTTCTCACACAGAAAGTTTTCAAAATTTAACAAAGTTTTCTTTTTTCAAATCCGTAGGGTGCCACATTCTGTCTCCTTAAAATACAAATTGCAGTGTAAACAAAAATACATTTTAAAAATGTATTTGCTCTGTTATTGAGAACTATAGCTTAACTGTGGCTTAATGACTTATCATGATGATTATTTTTAAGGCAATGTCATGTCCCATCTGTGTTATGGTCCAGATCAGGGAGCTGGAGCCAGTTCTGTGCCACACAGGTCGGACCTCGCAGCTGATCTGGACCTCCTCCAGTAACGCCCACCGCTCAGCTTTTAACCTTGAAGACGTACAGCACCTGAGAGGCACCCAGCCCTACAGCTCCTCCAAATATGCCTCCGACCTGCTCAGCCTGGCGCTCAACACACACTACAACAAACAGGTCGTCTTTCACACACATTACATGTTGTGTTGTGTGTGGCACAAACCTTTTAAAAGAGTTTGTTGATCGGGATCCTTCTGCCTTTTTGCTTTCCAGGGTTTGTACTCATCTGTGATTTGTCCTGGTTTTGTGATGACAAGTCTGACCTATAGCATCCTGCCCTCTTTCCCAGCATTCCTCTGGACCCTACTTATGCCTCTCTTTTGGCTTGTGAGTGCAGCTCTCGGTGTAAATTGCTGACACACATCTGCTCCTCCAGTTAATCTTGTGTGTATGAAATCAGTTTTTGAGTCATTTGTTTTTGTCTTTCATGATCACAGATAAGAATGTTCACCAACACTTTCACCCTGACACCTTATAATGGAGCTGAAGCCCTGGTATGTAAAAGAAAATCTCTAACATAGTGAAACAGTGATAACCAACTTTCAGAACAACTCTGGTTCTGGAAGTATATTTCCCATTCGTTTTCTCCATTGACTAGTGTGTACATCATTATTTAAAGAGTGACGGAATTATGTAAACCTTTGCAAACGATCCCTTTCCAATTTATTCCAGTGTGTCTTCTTGAATTTAACCTTGTTACTAAAATAGTGTTACATTCAATTATAGTTCGTGTCATGTATGTATGTATATAGTGTATAGTGTAGTAACCCAGAATGAACTGATCTCAACCAACATCATTGTCGTGGTTGTGGTTAACATTTCCATGGTAACAGCAAGCTCCACCAATCATAGACTTTGCTGTTACACCTGAGGATTGTGGGTAGTGTAGTACTTTTCCTTGATATTGCAGGTAAAACACGTTTTTTTTTAAATGTAGTCAATATCATACAGAGTTGTGCTTCCACAGGAGTATATAACATTGTTTCATTTTCTCATTGCTTATAGTAAATCTACCTTTGATGGTCACAATATCATGTCTGATGATCAAAATCTCTACTCAGAAAATGTATGGGATTTTTACTTCTGGAACTATACTGTTGAGCTCTATTTCTATACACTCATTAGTACAAAAGAAATACTTACAATGTGCTGCTCTCTCCTGTAGTTCTGGTTGTTTAAGCAAAATCCTGAATCACTGGACCCGCATGTCAAGTACCACAGCTTAACATCTGGACTGGGCAACAACTACACAAAACCACAGAAGGTACGGCAAAGAATGTTATATGTTTAGATAGCCATGTCAAGTAGTTCACAGTCTGAATTTTGTGTCCTCTGCTCCTCAGATGGACGTCGATTTGGAAACGTCAGAGGTTTTGTATGAGAAATTACTGCAACTGGAAGGTGAAGTAAGGAAGGAACTGAAGGAAAAACTCAAATAACCCACCCAGCATGTATGACAGTGGTCCTGCAGGATCTCGATCATCTTGATGCACATCACTTAGTTCTGTGACAGAAAGAGTTTTACTCCTGCAGCATGCCTGACAGAAATAACACATGGACATCTGAATTCAAAACAACTTACAGTGACTGGAATTATTTGAAGTTTAATTTGCTATTTCCATCTGTATCATGCTCAAAATAAAATGTCTGTCGTGATGGCTTGACAGAGAGTTGAGGAGAACAACACAGTTTTACAATTAGGCAAGCTTGGATGTTGGACCATGTTTCAGTCTACGCGGTGCAGGAGGGACTATATCCAATCATGTTGTTAATTCCGTGTTCCCCACGACAAACTGCGGTGCAGTCTGACAGCAGACTGTCAGTATCATCCCAGAAGTTAACGTAAGTGGTCTGACTGAACCCCTCGGCTGTGTATGGCGGGGCTGGAGCCATGTGCGCACAGACGCACCTGAGGCTCCGCTGTGGAGGTTGTGAGGCGCAGAGGTGTACCCCGTGTTCCACTGCTTGATTCCCGGTCCCGTACTCCTCCTCCGCTCCGCTCAGTTTCGGGTTACAAAAAGCCCAAACCATCCCGCAGAAGTAGACGAAAAACGTGCCCATGACCATGACCATGAGCGCGTAGGACTCGATCATGGCTTTGTTGACTGGAGATGTCATCTCTGAAGAATGCGCAGGAGGGATCCAAAGTGTGTTCAGGAGGGAGGAACTGTGAGACTGGCAGCATCATACACGAAGGCTGGGTCACTTCAGTACCTGCTTCAGCCAGATGGAGACACTCTGGAATGATTTCTCTTCTCTGTCAGAATGTTTAAATATCCAGAATAGTTATAAAGAAACTTTTTATTTGCCTGAAATACGTTTTGAGGACAATTCCAATAAAACCCAAATGATCGATTGAGTAAATTTGAAGAGGTCTATTGTGGAGGAAAGGCATGTGCAGCATGAATTATTTTATTCAGTCAGTCGACTGAACCCCCCCCCCCCCCCCCCCCACACACAATCTTAATATGATCCTTTTAGTTTTAAAATCATAAACAAAGTGCGCACTGAGCACACACATAAATCCATTTTAGGTGCTAACCTCCACCACCATGCCAGAAACAAAACACACACACATTTAGACATAAGTCGTCAACCAAACCTCTAATATGATGAAGGTTTTGGCCTCATCAGGTTTCTGACCATGGTGTCATTGCAGTCTCTCACGTAAAGATCAAAAAATTGTGGGCGGAGCAACCTATCAGCTGTTTCTGAGGGCCTCCTCTCAGCTTGAGGCACCAGGCAATTGTCTGCTTTGTTTAAGCCCTTACATTCAATATACCTTTCCATTTTTGGACTAAGAACATTGATGTCATTTAATATCACATGATTTTTAAGAACGACCGCAGATTCCTGAATGATAATGAAGTAAAACCAGGAGGAACTACTGAAGACAAACATCTGCTCAATTAACTTAATTGAAACTTTGTGGACTTTTAATTGAGACCATTCTGGGCAGAATTTAGAAAAACGGATTAAGTTGAATTTCATTGAGAATTCTGCACAGCCATCGGACTGTACAACTGTACAGACTCTGTTAAACTTGTGTTAGTTAAGGTTAAACTGTGATCCTGTTTGTAGGAACTAGCTGTCTTTATGTGTGAGTAAGAAGGTAATGAAACTTTACATTTGTATCTTACAAACAGATCAGAGTGACAAAGCGAGTGACTGTGACAGTATAAACAGGTTGTTTTAAAAGCCATGAGTCAGTTGTTCTCCAGGTCAGTGTTCACTAACAGACCCATCGGCTGGTAGGGCTCGACTTCCCTTTTAAGGTCAAACACCAGCAGCCACAACTCCCAAAATACCAGCAATGATCAATGAGACTTGAGACTTAGTGCCTTTTTCTGGAGAATACTGTGTAACCTTCAGTGAAATGAGCCCGAAGAAATGTATTTCTTTAATCCAGTTAATATTTCTGAGGCTTGGACACAGTAGAGGTGATAAGAGAATACTTTTCTTCTTTATGATTATTATTTTTAAATCATCTATATCCAAAAGAAAAGGACAGAACATACAGCCTTATACCCTGCTTCCATATCAAGCACTTCTTGCTAAAGGTCAACAATGCATTTAACTTTGTATTTCTATGTTAAGGAAACATGGATTGCCACAGGCACAAAACAATATTATTTTTTAAGTTTACTTTATTTTGTTCCTACAACCTACACCATGCACCACTTTGGTCTGATAAAAATGACTGAAAAATAAAACTGCCCTGCTCTATTCTTTATATCTTCATCTCCATTATTGTTAGAGACCTCAAATATTCCCATAAAATAAGGACATATGATATTGGTGGAAAAAAGGGGTTTGTGATATCCTCAATATCACACTTGTAAAGGAATTTTGCACTTTTTTCCAAGATGTGGTCTTACAGGCACAGGACAGTCCCCTCTTGAAACCCCATTTAAATTCTCTACATTGTGGGTTCTTTCCTGACCCATACAGCATTGCGTGGTCTGTGGTGATCTTTAATTGTTTTTAATATATTAGTGCAAAAACATGACTTCCAAAACATTATACTTTTGAGTTAATGCAACATCGAAAAAATATCAAGGGCCAAAACACATAAAAACATGACAAAGAAAAACATTTATAAATGCTTGTCTGTACCACGCTCTGGCCATTTTTCACACTGTCCGAATAACCCAACTATCAGCCTGTTTTCACTGCAGAGTACAGAAGCATGTTTGCTATGGATCAGGTTTTGTTATCAAGAGGAGTGGTGCAAGTGTGAAATGTTTACATGCAGGGTTAAAAAAGAGCCTGGGGCTCAGTGTAGTGTGAATACTCAACCACATTGAAATGTCAGGACCTGTCTGTGCAGGTTGTCACTGTGAGATTTTGACTGTAATCCCTAAATGATATGTTGACCTTTCCTCTGATCATGTCTTGCAAGTGAAATTACAACACAGCAGCAGCTAACAGATGCACCTGCTGTGTGTTAGAGGTTAACAAATGGATAACGTCTGGAGAAAACCAGGATGAAGGACTAGTTCAGCTCTATTTGTTTCTAAAGCTAGTGAAGTGGGGGAGCAGCAGTGAGAAACACTAGGGACGCTTCCACGAGGAGTCAACACAACAGTGTGTAGGATAATTACCATGCTTTTTGCTTCACAGGGGCTAGCAACAGCGCTGAGAACGGCATTGTGGGTAGCGTAGTTTTTCTGTCGGCGTGTCCTCTATTGACGCCCATTGTCTGCTCGCTGTCAAAAAACTACACGCCCCAACCGCGCAAAGCCCCGAGGTCCCGGATGTCTATCGCGCCGGAAGAGAAGAAGGTCCTTTTCCCAGCCATCTTGTGGCTTCATCTAGCGAAGTGTTCGCACCAAGCCTCGTAGAATCGGAGGAAAATCCTGCTGAAGGGGCGCCATCATGCCCGGACAAATGCAAGAAGGTTTTGGCTGTGCCATAACCAATCGGTTCGACCAGTTATTTGACGACGAGTCGGATCCGTTTGAGCTTCTGAAGCAGGCCGAAGAGAAGAAGAAGGAGGCTGCTGCTCTCCCTGGTGCCGCCAAGACCGCAGCCCAGGCTGCCAAGCACACGAAGAAAGAGACCCAGAAAGAAAGAAAGGTCCCGCTCACTGACAAGAAGGAGGAGACCCAGGCACCCGTCCCGCTCAAGAAAGATGGTAAACCCGGTTTCTGCGTTTAAGCTCCCGGTCAGGCAAAGGGTGTTTAGCTAATAAGCTAATGTGCTTGTTTCCTAGCTAGCGACGGTTCGTAAGCCCCCGTGACATGAGGTCCGCATGGCTGCTTTTGTGTCCTTGTGCGCTGTCATTTAGGAGAACAATGACATGTATACCAGTGTGTGTGGAGCTGGAGGCTGTGCACCTCCAGCCATTCACTTAAATCGGTTTACGGGCCCACTTGTTTTGGCTCGTCTCCCCACCGGCCTTGTTGAGCAGGTGGAAGCCGAAAGCCTGGGTATCCGGAGAAAGTGGCCTTTACATGCAGTCATGCTAAAGTGCTGTCAGGTCGTGACTGTCGGAGGCCACTTGTTGCTAGATCAGGCCCGTAGTTTTTATTTCGTGATATTTTATTACGGTTTAATATAAACTTAATTAAATATAAAATTGTGTTCAGGTTAAACCAGACACCTTCAATTCTAACTTAAATGTAAATTAGTGTTAAAACGCTGTATTGTTGTAATGGTGGTGGATGCGCCGGTGGTTTGGTCTCACTCGGAGCAGAGCGCTCTCACGGTGATGAACCTCGTGGTGACCGTGTGGGGCGTGTTGAAGCTCCGTCTCTAAACTGCCACTTCCCATTGACGCACAATGCACGCTCGTGCATGCGGTTGATCTGCTTCTTCGCATTCACTTTCCTGTTTGTGATTTAGCAGATATCATTAATGTAGATTTCGTCAACAGTCAGTCTACCACCTGGGTTGTGAAAATGGAGGCCAAGTTTATGTCCTGATGTGCCAACGTGTTTTTGTAGCATGTTGAATTTACTACACGCTGAAGTGCAGCATCCAGTGTGAGGTGAAGATCTACTCTCAGACAGTTAGTTGGCCATTACCAGCAGGTCACGCTGCCAAGTGGGCTCATATCTGTTTGCTGGAGAGAAGATGAGACAGGTGCGCCGACTACAGTGCACCCAGCTGCCACTATGTTCTGCTGGGTGTCTATTTTGGTAGCTGGTGATTTAGGCCAGGGGTGGGATTGAGGGGTGGGATTGGGTCAGTCGACCATGTGCTACAGGGGTGGGGGGGTTAAAAACTATGACAGTGTTAATTCCATTCAGTGACTGTGTGATTTAGGTGATCAACACACTTTTAAATGAAGTGGGAGATGATTGATCATGCATCAAAACTTAAGTCCCCATCAAGTGAAATCCAAACCCTCTGTACAAAGTTTCTACCATACAACACATTTTGTGAACTTGATGGTTTCAGTTGTTTTCACTGTTTTAATATTAGGATCACACTGCTGACAGATGAAAGTTGTAGAGTATTTAAAAATAGTAAAAAGAAAATTTAATAAACTATGCATGGGTTTAAGTAATTATTAATATGTGTACATCATAAATCACAACAAATGCATTTGACTAGTTTATTAAAAAATGAAATTCTGCCCAGCAATTGAAATTATTGGCTCCATTTGAACAGAACAATCACCCTCGTGTCTGATGCTCAGCGCTGGGTCCTGATCTATCGATCTCATTGTCCTCTAACCCCACTGTTGTGGTCAATCCTAGGTGCCGGCATGAGGAGAATGGGCCGCAAGCCAGAGGGTGACGGCCCCAGACCCCAGGGCAGCCAGGGTGGCCAGGGCGAAGGACGCCCCCCCACAGACAGACGGCCTGTGGACAGGCGCCCCCCTCGTCGCTTTGAGAGGCCTGCTGGCGAAGGCGGCGAGAAGACTGAGGGTGGCGAATTCTCAGTGGAGAAGTGAGTTCAATTGAACAGTCTTTTTTTTGCAGCAGCAGCAGCAGCAGGGGTGGGATGACCAACCCCTCTTGTGCACAAAATGTTGTACTATTTTCAATGTCTCGGAATGTTTCGAGCTAATCACAGCGACACAAAGTAAACGTAAGTATTTTTCAGGTCCTAATAACTTCTGATAAGTGATGTTATTTATTGTAAACTTGTAAAGTTAAGTGTGAGCTGCCGCTGCAAAATGAACATAGGGAACCCTGGGGAGTCCATTATTATCTTGGAGGGTGTTTTCTAATTTCAGAAGAAGCCAAAGCAGCTCTCACAGGGGGGTGTGGGTATGGACAGCAACTGATAAAGGCGTTGTTTGCAATGATAAGGCTTAGTATGTTTTGCCCTGACTGCTGCAGGCAAATTAGCATGATCAGTTCACTTTTTTAAGCGTTGAGTGTGTAAGATTTTATATAACAGATATCCACTGGCAGAATTTTTTTGTTTTTTTACCCTAGAATGGGCCCTTTATATTTGAATACTTTATATTTACACCTGGAGCAGGTCCTCTCTATGGAGGCCCCCAAGTTTTTTACGGTGGTCCAAACTAGACACACTAAACACCTTTTAAGTTTTTATGACAACTGAAGCTACCACAGATTCTCATTCAAGTTTGCAAAGGGAGGGTGAGTTGAGGGGTGGTCAGCGGCAACATGCAACTTCACCACTAGATGTCACAAAATTCTACACACTGAACCTTTAAGATCGATGCAACAGAACATGTCCAAATCTAGATTTAGGCTACCTTTAGTCAGACGCAACAGTCACTTCTTTTTCTTTAAATATCATTTAGAGCAGCTGAAGAAAATGTAATTTAAATTTTTTGTTAGTCTTCTTAAGTCCCCCAGCTGAATTTATGAAAATAGGCTGATTAAAGGGCCTTGCCTTAGAGCTAAGCTTCTGACAGACAAAGAAACTTGTAATTTCCCAAAGAGTAGACTGATGTTCATTATCTGTCATTTTAGACCAATCGGTGACAGGCCAATGAGAGGACGTGGTGGTGGCGGCGGCAGAGGAGCCCGTGGAGGCAGAGGACGCGGCGTGGCTCGCAGCGATGGCTTTGACTCCCGGGGCAAGCGTGAATTTGATAGACACAGTGGCAGTGACAAATCGTAAGTACTTTTTCACTCCTTAATATTATGCTAGAATTAAAGAAATGAATTCACCCATGGTTGGTTAAAGATCTTTGTACGTTTTTAATTCAGTACATGTGTAATGATCGTGGCTAAAGCAAATGTTGTTTCAGTAGTCTGAAGGGTGAGGAGAAGCGGGGTGGAAGTGGATCTCACAACTGGGGCACCGTCAAGGATGAGCTCAAGTAAGTGTCTGTATTTATAATGACCAACTTTGCATGATGGGACTTGTAGAGTACATGCACACCCTCCAATTGGGACCTTACATAAATAACACTTCAGTGTTAGTAGGTGGCTTTTCAAAAAACTCAATATATATATATTTGATATATTCATACTCATGCTGTATCATCTTAATAATCATAATGTATCCTGGTTAGTGGCAAACAATTGGAGTAAGGATAATTCAAAATACACATACTGTTTATTGGACACACCTTGCTAAAATGTATTTTTTGGTCTGATATTTGAGAGCGTGCACCACTCGACCATATTGTAAACACATGTGCGCAACAGGCATCATGAACAGCAACAAGGTTCAAACTTCACTCCAGGAATCAATAAGCTCAGTGTTTTTGGTGAATATTTTGAAATGTTTTTTGACCATGATTTTTTTTTTCTGTTAAAAGTGAGCTTGACCAATCAACCAACACTGAAGAGAACCCTGAAGGAGAGGAGCATCCACCTGCTGACTCTGAGAACAAGTATGAATTTTCTTGTTTTATTTATCTTGTTCTAAGCAACAGGAATAATTTGGGGATTTTGGATTTGCTACAATATAACTGATGAATGTGCAGATAAACCTAAATTAATAATAAAATATAAGTAAAGTTGAATGACAGTGATGTTAAGGCTACTAGCAACACTCAACTCTTTATGTCTTGTTTTTGTTGAAGGGAGAATGAGGTAGAGGAGGTCAAGGAAGAAGGTCCCAAGGAGATGACTCTGGACGAATGGAAGGCTGTGCAGGACAAGGAGCGGGCCAAAGTGGAATTCAACATCCGTAAGCCCAACGAGGGAGCTGATTGGAACAAAGGATTTGTGCTGCACAGGTCCAAAGCAGAGGTGCGTCAACAACTTAGCTGCGAGAAAACTTAATTTCAATTTTTTTTTTTTAGGTTAACATGGTCACATGACCATAGTTTTAACATCAGTCATATTAACCTTGATGATTAGTATTTATTTGTTTCCAAGGCAGTTAAAATAGTTTTTGTATTAATTGATGTCAAAAAGAGACTTATTCTAGTAACCCATTAAGACTCAAGCTCCAATAAAAACACTTGTCTTAAGTTCACAAAATCTAGAATTTCCGGCCTCTGAAGTAGAAAAACACATTTGCTGTCTTAAAATTTTACTTTAAATCTGAATCATTACCTTCTACCTAATTTTTTTAACCTTAAAGGTTCAGTGTGTAAGACTTAATTGAAAGGGAACTAGTATTGTTTAAATTTAATGTAGAATAATGCTCATGATGTTTTCACTAGTTCATTTCATCTAAATTGTATGAATTGTAGTTTTCTTTACCCCAGAAAAGGCCCTTTATATTTAAATACTTTATATTTACATTGAGGGGGTCCTCTCTACGGAGGCCGCCATGTTTTTTATAGTAGTCCAGACTGTACAAACTAAACACCTTTTGAGTTTTTATGACAACTGAAGGCTTCATGTTTGGGAGGGTGAGATGAGGGGAGTTTAGCTGCAACATGCAATATCAACACTCGATATCACTGAATTCTACACACTGTACCTTTAAAGCTGAAAAACTCACCAAGATCCCCCGCCCTTGCCCCTCCTCCCCAAACAGAAGCTAAGAGCGCTAACAGACTACATTTCCCATAATGCATGCTTCCTTTCCTGCGAATCACGAGTAAATGAGGTTAATGATTGTTGCAGACAGGAAATGCAGACCTTTTATTGAATGTTTTTCTTTTTCTATTTACATTTTTAATCTAAAATGTAATCTGTCCAAAAAAATTGCTTTGTGTTTTGGAAATAACACCATGCATTTTTCTCCATCACAGGTTAAGAAGGATGATCTGATTGACCCTGAGGTTGAGGAGCCTAAGGTAAACATTTCTGCTTCTGTTGCACAGTATCTGACATCAAATAATACTTTCAAATAACATAAGGCAAAGCTGTACAATAAATGAATCTGTTTCAATCAATTTTGTAGCCTCAGCTGGAGGATGAGCACCACTTCCGTAAGCCAGCCAATGACATTACGTCCCAGCTGGAGATAAACTTCGGAGATCTGGGCCGTCCGAGCCGTGGACGTGGAGGACCACGTGGTGGCCGAGGAGGTCGTGGCCGCGGAGAAATCCCTAGGCCGGTCCGCACAGTGAGGCCTGAAAAGGTAGATAACCCGCCACTAACCTGTAATTTTAAAATGGGGTCATTGTACCTGTTAAGATTAAAAACCTGAAGGATTCTTGCTACTATAACTAACTAACTCCTCCTTGTGTTTACTTTCCTCGCAGCCATCTGGGTCCGTGCCCAACGTGGACGACCCAGAGGCGTTCCCAGCCCTGGCTTAAGCCCCGGCTGCTGCCCTCAGGCCTACAGGAGCCTCCTGAGCACCTCCACTACGAGGCTTGCATGTTCCTGGATCCTTCAGCAAAGTGAAATGATGGAGAAGACTGTCATTAACTATGGCACTCAAAGTGAGGACTGAGTTTTACCCAATAAAAACAAAATGAAGATGGAAAAAAAACAAAGTAAGGAGAAAAAAAAAAGGAAAAAAAAAAAAAGAAAAGGACTTCTTGCTACTCCGGAGCAAATTATTGGTAGAGGTTTTGTACTTGGAAACAAAGTAGCAGGGATGTTTTCATACAGTATTTTTTTCAGAGGTTATGCATTGTCCATTGATAAATTTTTGTAATTGCTGCTTGAAAATATGCGTTTTCGAAATGTAAGCATAAGAAGAGTATCTTTTAGCTTGGTGTGTGCCATTGCTTGCTTGCTTGCTTTGAAATAGGCACCGCAGAGCTCCAACCCAAGCTCCTCGGCTCTGCCACACCAGGTATTGATGAAGTTACAGCTTCATTCATTGAGATTTAAGGATTTTTCTTTTCTTTAGCACTGGGGTATTGTTTTATATTTTATACAGGAGGTCTATTCTTTTATGATCTTAGGCCTGTAAATCTTGACTATTTTCATAAATTCTTTCAGAGACTGTATTTCACATGGTGCGAATAGGACAGTGCATTGACGAAATGGCGCCTAAATCTGTATTAAGGTTCTTTTTTCTTTTTTTTTTTACTTAAATATTTTTAAGGAGGAACATTGGGTCATTTTGGAGGAACACATTGGTCATTACTTTGCTAAATTTACATAGATCCTGTGACCTTTGTCAAGTGGATTAATTTGAAGCTGCAGGCTGTTCCATGTGTTCTGATTAACTCGTACTTGGGGTGCTGTTCACAATCGAGTGTCTCTTCCTCCTCGCACATTTCACCTCCGATTACTCACCATGTGGAAGTCAATCAAAAGTTTTCTTCAAAGAGTGATTCAGAGAGGAAGTGTCTTGATGCAGCTGAGATGCAGCTGTAGCCTCCCTCAGGCCTCCTGACTGTTTACACACTCCACTCGAGCATCCTTCCACAGATGTAAATTCAGCCCAGCGTCCGTTTGTTTCGACAGTCTGTTCTGTGCTGATATTTTCCTCCACTGTTGACTCGCCCTGTAGCTCTCACAGTGGCACCACTGCATAATTGCTCTGAAAGAAATACAGTCGTTCATTGTGTGGAACAACTGAAGTGCTCTACAGATGTGTGAATTCTAGCCCTGCTATTGGAGACCTCTGTCGGTAAATAAAGATGGTCGATAAATTTCTTGCAGCGTCACTTTTTTTCCCTGTCCACAGACAAAATGATGTCACAAGTGTGCTGTTCTCTGTTGCTTTGCTCTACTTGTTGCCAGTTATATCCCAATACATTGTCTAATATAAGTAACCTGTGTTTTGAGATGGAAGCTGTAGAACAGGTGTGTGAAATGTTAAACTTTCACCTCAGGATTTTATTGAACTGTTTGCAAATGTGTCAAAACCCACTCTGGCTTTCAGTCCTCTGTTCTAGACCTGTATTTCATACAAGGGAACGACAACTCAAAAATTATTCTAACTAGAAATGTGTGACATTCATAGGTATCAGTTCCCTAGATGTGCCTGATCTTTTTGCTGGATGTGCCTGAATTATTCCCTGGATGATTGGTTTACAAAACAGACGGTTGAAAACCTGCTCAGCAGAGATTACAAACTCCTTTTAACTGCGAACAAGTGCAAAGGATTAAATAATTTATTTTTATTGATATTAAAACTTGACAAATCACACTAAGGCTGCACAAGTAAATGAACAAATCAGAAGTTTCTATACAAGTAAAAATGATATCCGAACAGTGATGGTGATAGGTTAAAAATATTTAAAGGGCAGTTCTGAATATGACTGATCCTGAAAATGTAAAAGACTAGTTCTTTTTTTAGTAACTTTCAAGGGGGCAGAAATGTATTAGTGTGTCTATAGCCATCCTGACAGAAGAAAAGGATAATGCATACAATTTAAACTTAAGCGCACATTAAGTCAATGATTATTGCTCAGTTTAGCGCTAGACTTTTTGTTTTACAGTTCTCTTCTCAAGATAAGAGGTAGATCATATTTGTCCCAGTGTGATCCAAACAACACACTAAAACGTTTGTGTCCTTCATTGTCTTCATCAGTTCTTCCTCTAAAAGTTCTCACTCATCCCACCAGAGAGTTCTGGTTTTACATTAGCTGTCCTGAAAGAAGTCACTACAGAGGTCAATTTTCACTGCGTCCAGAGTCAACTTTCCTCCCAAGCCTATGGGCCCGTTGAAGAGGTTGTGACTGGGGAAGAAACCCAGCATCTCCTCCTCTTCCTCTCCCTGATCCTCCTCCATATCTCCCAGACAGTGTGATGAGATGTAGTCAACAGTTGTGCTCGTGCCCAGGGAGGTATGTGTGTGGTCAGAGCTGTCAGAATCGTGGGAGATGCTCTTGATGTACGTGGTCAGAGGGTATGGTGGTGTGGTGTCTAAGCTCAGGCTGATCTGAGAAGGGAGTAGTGAGGAGGTGTTTGTAGATGTGGATATGTCACCGCTTTGCCTGGGCAGCTCCTCAATATCCACCAGGATCGGCTCTTCCTCCTCGGTTGCACTGGAGTTACTGTGCTGCTGCTGGAGGTTCATTTTGCCCTGTTTGGGAGGAAGATAAAAGTTCAAACCAGGAACAGTGGGCTGCAATGTAGCTCAAATCTTTCTTCTTCTTCTACATAAATACCTTCTCTTGGGTAAACTCTCTTGCCCACTTGCTGTTTGCAGGATCTGGGACAACATCGAGCATGAGGCATGGGAAAAACCCCCAAAACCTGAGAGGGAACATGGAAAACTGCTCAACAAGATAGCATGGAAACTTGTTGTAGCAAAATGATCATTTATCATTTGTGATGCATCATTTCAATGCGACTTTCAGCTATGAGTCCGTATGGAGCTGCTGTCCCTCACTTACTTCTGGTTCACTGCTGAAAAATGGCACATGCACACTAAAACCACAATCAGGGAGACAACACCAAACACGAGGAAGTTGGCCAGTAGAGTTCCCTCTGCAATCATGAGAGAAACACAGGGAGAAGATTTGAAGTCGCAGCATTTACTTTTAATTTCCTCTACTACAGTCAGTCAATAAAAGCAAGAAAATAACTAAAACCATTGAAAGCTGTTGCCAAAGTATTCTGACTACTTCACATTAAACCCTCACAGTCTATTTACAATATATGTCCTTGGACAAGTCTTGTCTTAATGTGTTTCCATAATAACTATCATTGAAAGAAATTCTGAAAAAAGACAAATAGTTAATTATATTCCAGTGCGGCTGGAAACAGGTGGAAACAGTATCTAAAGTCAATTAACTTATTCACACATATTTCACAAAATTCTCATGTCTGCTTACGCTGGATGAGGAACTTCAGTTGTTGACCCACAGGGCCCTCTCCCTCAGCGGTGGACGCAGTCATCCACATGCTGTAGACGGCAGGAGACAGGTGCTGGATCACGTACGTCCTGTCCGATGCTGGTATGGAGTCTGAAATGTACACACGCAGCAGATTGGCAATTTAAAGGAGGATTATCCTGCTCATATTCAGGTTCATAATTTAATTTGAGTTATTACTTGCTTAGGTCTACGTGCTCTAATGTTCAGAAAACGTACATTTCCTCACTCTGTTCATTCCTGCAGCTCCTCTTTTCAGAAACATAAGACAGGTCTAAAGGTACAGTGTATAGAATTTTGTGATATCTAGTGTTGATATTGCATGTTGTAGCTGAACACCCCTCACCTCACCCTCTCCTTCCAAACATGAAAAAGAAAACTGTGGTAGCCTTTAATTGTCATAAAAAGTCAAAAGGTGTTTAGTTTATCCATTCTGGACTACTGTAATAAACATGGCAGCCTCCATAGAGAAGGTCCCCTCGATGTAAATATGAAGTATTTACATATAAAGGGCATTTTCTGGGGTAAAGAAAACTACAATTCATACAATTTAGATGAAACGAACTAGTGAAAACATCCTGAGGATTATTCTACATTAAATTTCTGCTGTTTCCTTTCACCTAAATCTTACACACTGGACCTTTAAAGTATCTGTCCTCTCTTTAGCAACAATAAAATATTACATTTTTACACATTTCCCAACAGCCACAGATAAAGCAATTCTTACATTGCTGCTGGTGTCCACTGTTGTTCTCTAAGTAGATGGTGTAGTTGGTGATGCAGCCCCTCTGCTTGCTCCTGGGAAGCTCCGTCCAGGTCACCTTCACTATTTGTCCCTCAACCATCTCTTGGAACAATGGACCAACTTCTGGGGCTGCAACCGCATGGAGGAATATATTAAAATCAGTTCATAACACTGCAGTTTCTACCAGTTAGAATAGTACAACTTCCATTACTATAAGTAATAATAAGCATTATGAAGATATTTTGATTTGGTATACAAGTACATAATGAAATAATACTAATCATGTATGTATAGCTCCTCTCTGATATTACCTGACTCCAAAGTGGCCACACCTGAAAACATCATCCTGGTCACTGAGCTGTCGCTATAGAAAAGATACACTGCCCCCTCGTAGCATTCAAATGGCTTAACACCTGTATAAAGAAAAGGTAATCGATATTATTAAATCATTTTGGGAGATGGAGAACTGACCAAAAAGTTTGTAACATAATGGAAAGTGTCAATGTTTAAAGTATCTGTGCATAAGAAAAATGTCTGGTAGAGATGAAGGGAGCGGCAATGACAAATGAATTGAGGGTTTATTGTCATTTATCGTAGAATATGTGAGTAGGCATGTTGTATATGAAAAGATGATGGCGAGAGAGAGAGAGAAAACATGGCTACCAACAGTTAACATTTAAAAACTTAAATCAGAAAGACACAATCCATACAAAAACATCCATCTGTTCCTCCATCCAACAGCAAGAGTCTGTATTTTCATTGGCCCACACTGCAGGGACTGTCAAGAGTTTATTCAGTCCATCATTGCATTTTTAACTGGGGCTTTATAGCCACATTAACTCCAAACACTAATATGTGCTTTATCCATCCAGTATCTGAACTGTTTGACGGTTGCAGCTGGAGCCAACAAGCAGAGACAAACAACCACACCCTTAACCCAGACACCAACATGTCTGAAATAACTGTACATCGCTGCCTTAGCTTCCTTTGCATTAATCCCTCTATTTCTATTGTACTGCCGCATGTCCCATTGTCCCACCTGTGATGACTGCATGGTCGTCATTGCCGCCCAGTCGGACCCATCTGAGTTCCTCCAGCTTCTGACCCTTTGGGTACCACTCTACCACATATGAGGCTGGTAACAGTGCAGTTTCAGGCTTCCTCCAGGAGATGGTGACATTGTGGTTGCCAGTAGTTACTTGCACATCCTGAGAGGACTTGGCTGAGACATGAGGAGCACGAGTGAATATAACTGGTTTCAGTTTTAGTAATGCACCGTAACAAGCCCTCTGACACAAGCATAGCTTTTCCTACCTTTTGTGTGATGTGCTGTGATTGTAACAGGAGGCGACAACCCTTTGGAGTTGCGAGCCCACACAGTGACTTCACAGTTAGCACAGGTTGGGACAGAATAATTCCTGGCATCACGGCTTAAGTTAGTGACAAGATCCAGTCCAGAGTCTGGGCTGTAAACTCTGACTCTGTACCCTAGGATCTTCCCTCTTGCGATGGAAATGTGCGGCTCCTGCACCCAGAAAAACACATTATCATTATTTTGTTAATGGAAAAGAAAAATATTTTGTCGAAACTGCAGGGAGCTTTCACATGTGCCTGGGATTTGGCTGAATGATCAAAGTCAACACGCTGCAGGATTAGTATGTAAGACACTTCATTTCTGTTCAGCTCCTGATTTCTTGTAAACTGAAACTGTGGTGTCTGTACCCAGGTTTCACTTACTATTCACAGTCCTTATGTGACATTAAATGAATGTAAGTGTGTGTACTTGTGGTAGAGTGTGGGGATGTACGTATGTGTGTGTGTGTGTGTGTGTGTGTGTGTGTGTGTNTGTGTGTGTGTGTGTGTGTATGTGTGTGAGAGTGTGTGTGTGTGTGTGAGTGTCACACCTCAGACGTGGTCAAGAGTTGACCTTTAGTTTTTGCAGAACATAGTGGTGACGTAGTAAAGATCTGGATGTGTTACTATGGTTACAACACTGCACCCCACGCCCACACAGACAGTAAGAAGGAGAAGAGGGAACGCATGGAGACGATGAAATATTACAGCCGTGTTGTGTGGTCACTGTCAAGCAGCAGTTTAAATTAAAAAACTGTCAAAACTTACCTTCCAGTAAACTCTCAGGGATTTTGAGTCCGATGCAGACTCAGCATACCAAACATCCAACTCTTTTTCAGGAGCTGGAACAATAAAACATCACAGTGTCACATAAAAGATTAATATTTGCTGTAGCTCAATAAAGGAATTCTTTGAAATTCTTTGAACGTGACACATAATCTCTGCAGGTCTGTTAAAGTTTCTTCCTATGTGAGTCTGAAAAAGATGACAAACACTTCCAAGAAATACGTAAAGAAGAATATATTTTTACCTCGGCCATCGGTTTGTATGCTAGCAGGATTATACAACAACTACTACAGAGTTTCATAAACCTGGGAGGAAGGATGCAGATCTAAAGTTTCTGATTTAGAACATTTCTTTAACAAAGTGGCTATTTTTTGATTTCAACCAATTTCTCAAAGGAATAATTAAAAGATCTTGATGAAAAGAATCTGATAAATTAAAGAAATGATAATTGTGAGTTTTCTGAAATTTGGTTTTAAATTCAACTGACTGAATTTGTCATGTTACTGATTCCTGCTACAGAAAATCATAAGTAATTTTCCTGTTATAGCACTGGCCCTACACCGGCAACACCAGTGAACATGTGATAACCCAGAACGGAAGTTAAAGTCCCTCCTCCCTGTATTTGTGCACTGTATGGAGGAAGTTGTGAGCTGTAAGCACTCCACCTCTCTGCACTGCTGCTGCTTTCATATGCTTAATATGCTTTTAATACACTTTGACGAGTGGTAAAAATAATAAATGATGATCAACAACCACAATGTGGATTTCACAATCACACATTGGAAATATTTACATTAATGCCAACTGTTTTTCAAAGCAGATTAATTATTTCCTTCCAGTCATACAGTACAGACACTTAAAAAATACTAAAGATAAAATCCACCACAATGGACTTTAAAGCTTTAGAGGAATATGGATCCCAGTTGGAAAATTGAGGCCTTTGTACTGCTACCCAGTGGCAATGTTGTTAATGCAAGAGATTTCATAGTTTGTGAATGCAGAAGTATTCTGCCCTGTTATTACACACTCTACATGCTCAGTGAAAACAATAACATTTTTTATTTACCTTGATATTTCATGACTTCATTGACACAATTTTATATCCAAACATATTCTATGAGTCCACTCCACATAATAAGATGTTTACTCTATTTGCAGCTGTAAACCAGACAATATTATTTAAATATGCTCTTTGTTTTTTTAATGGGTTTAACTTAACTTCTCTCTCACCAACCCAATCTCAAATTAACTGTTTGCTTACAAGACGGTGAGTCCAATCACTTTTGAGTCTTAAATTAACGTAAACCTTGAAAGACTCAAACTCAGTTTCCAGCAAAAGGAAGAGTTTTTACCTTAATTCTTTACATGTTTGATTTGAATAAGGGAGATATGGGAAAGAATGTAATTTAAGAAAATGATTATTGATTTAGTTGAATCAGTTGCAGGAAGATGAGTGACAAACAGATAACAGACAAAGAGTAATTCAGCCCATTCATCAACTGAATACTGGAACAAAAATAGATGTGAGGGGTTAAACTCTTTCTTCTCTGACCTCTGAAGCTGCTGTCAGCTGTTTGTGCAGAACTGATGATCTGTCATAGCTGCACATTCAGAGCTCACATATCTGTTCAGAGACCTGCTTATCTTCACACCATCAGTACAACAAATATCATGTGACAGTTCCCTTTTTCAGCTCAACTTTGACAACTTCTCGCTTATGACAAAGACTCTGACTCAGTTTGACCTGACAGAAAAATACTCAACTCCAGTATTTGTTTTTGTATTTATAGTGTTAAGAAGAATAAGAATTAGAATGCCTTCATTGTCTTTGAACAGGGTGTACAATTAAATTATAGTGCCACTCCTTCACAGTGCAAACATACTAAAAAGTAAAAAAGTAAAAAAATACGTTATCTGAAATAGTGGAAATCGACAACATTTACAAATATACATGTAACTATGTTCAAGTAGCTGTATTGCACAGTGGATGGGTGGGTGTTGTGTGCACAACTGTGCATATTCTTTCTTATCACTCACTCTCAACACACAACCCAATGAGGATTGTGTCAGTGGTTTATCCTGCAGGCAGACAGTGGTGAGCTGATAACTGCCTCAAACCACATAGATATTGTAATTGCTCCATTCACATACTATGACAGAATCAGTGCTGCTTCCAGTTAGAGCAGTAATACCCAAAGGTTGAATCAGGTAGGAGCTGTTCACTTACCCTCCTCCTGAGTCCAGCTGGAAATTATTTTGCTCCACTGACTCCACAGGCCAGTGCTGAAACTGGATCGGGCTCTGAAATGGTACAAACTGTAGGGCTCCAGAGAGGAGATGCACCGAGCCTGAACTGTACTCATCTGCACGCTCTGTAAGTGAAAAAGAATCATGTACAAGTTTTACTTGTGGTAAAATGCCATCCAGTTAAGTCAAGTCTGATTTATTTATACTACTGCAGTGCCCGTTCAAAATAAAAGTAAATGGGATAAAGACAAGACCTAATGTGGTCAGGGAGACCTCGTGAGGAAAACCTTGGGACCTGGGGCAAAATATGGAAGTAGTGATGCAGATCTATGATCACATTGCAGGAACACCTCAGCTTGTTTCTGATGTTTCACTGAGAGTTCACCTCTGCACCCATCTGCCTGAGACTCATATCTGTTTAATGGTTTGAATCAGACCTATGAGATGTAATCGTGCAATGTTGACTTCAAAGGTTCTAAGTAACCGACTGCAATATCTCCTGCAACATCTCATCTCTGAAGTGTCTTCTTACTTGATCTGGGTGAGATGTCCATGTCTGTTCTGCTGCTTTGTACTGAATCTGCAGGTGGTGCGTCCTCACAGGCTGCTCCACTGTGAAGATGCACTCCCGGGAGGAGCACTCTGGTTGGCCAAGAACAGGAGGTGACGGCATTGCTGCTCAGATCAACACAGACACAAGAGGTCAGACACAAGTCTTCAGCGACTTTCACAGGATGGACACACAAGACCAGTTTAACATTTTATCCTAACTGTGAAAAAATTTAATTCTACTAAAACATTTCAACAATAGAAAGGAGGATTGGGGGAGATTATGACACAGCATACAGTTTTAGTTTTGAGTATAAAAGACAAACTTTCAGTCACACTCTCATCATTTCATGCCTTGAAACTGTCATTACATGTAAAGAATTGCACGCTCTTACCAAGCATCTCACAAACTGAAGGAGCTCAGCCATTTCTGTGGGTCTTACCGATGTCAGTGAGGGTGTAGTTGACGGTGGCAGACACCACATTGCGCAGTGTATTGTTGGCTTGAACCCACACGTAGATGAGCTGCACAGACCTGAGCACAGGGATCACTGTGGCAGTGGACAGTGAACCACTTCCCTTACTGGAGACTTTGTGTGGCTTCGGTTTACTTGTGTTATTTCCCGATACAGTTCCCAGCCTGAAAACACAACAAAGCCAACTGTTAATTGATAGCATGAGCAGTGTCATTTTATTATGGGATGTTTTGGTGGTTTAATACAAGTTTTCTTTTCTTTTTCAAACTCACCACAGCACTGTACTTTCTGTAAGATAAGTGTTCCTTCCTCTGTTCCAAGTGCAGAGCACTTCTCCACTTGTATTATTGAAGACCTTGTAGATGCATGACAGGTTTTTAGGAAGATCTGGTACATCTGAAGGACGAAGACGACAAAAAGGGGTTGAATAGACCTTAAATACTGAGGTTTTTTGTGCAGCAAACTAAAGAGCAAACTGTTTAATTTTGGATAGGATACATTCAAGTGATTTTCTGATATGTGAAAAATGTGCCTCACTTTCAACCTTGGTTGACTGAGCTTGTTACATTTAGCGGGACCTATGGAATGATAGACAATCTTCCTACATTTCCTGATATATGGCTGCTGTTTCCAGATCATATTTGTTCAGTGTAACTTGGTTCAGGTCCAGCTAAAAAAACAACCACGCCTTCCACCTGTAATGCTTGTGTTAAAAGATGTGACCTGATATATTTTTTTCCCTTTTTCTTTTGTTTATGTCTTTTAGTATGACAGAGAATTATGGCCATTTAAAGGGGGAACAATATCTGATTATGAGAATAATGTTTAATATTGTATATTATAGAATACATGTATATATAGTGGTCTCTCTGGACCCCTGCCTAATGTTACCAGTGATGACATGTGTGATGACACACGTCATCCTTTCACCACTGGCTGTCAAGGTTGTGTCCAAATAACAACATGGGCTTCATAATTAATTGGCGAACTTTTTGGAGGAAACCTGGTCTGATTAGGAGAGATTGTATTCATCCCACTTGGGATGGAGCAGCTCTCAAATCTAGAAACATGACAACGTTTGTTAGACAGTCCATACCCTGACAATCCAGTTACTTATTAATGATCTGATTACTGATCTTCAAATCTATATATTATGTCTAACAGAAACCTGCCTGGAGAATATGTAGGTTTAAGTGAAGCGACACCCCGACACCCTATACTAATACTCACATACATACATACATACATCACGGAAACTAAAGAGGAAGTGGCATTCCACCAATCAATATGACTTTCACCTAGCCTGGAAGGATAGCCTGATGAATTACAAGAAAGCATTTTCATGAGCTTCTTAACAAATATCCACCACCTCCTCCCAATGAATAGCACATACATAGATACATTGTCTGGTCCTGAAACCATAGAATCAGATTTATGTTTGAACCAATTTTCTTCTATTGATCTTCCTGAACTGACCTCATTAGTTTCATCATGTAAACCAACAACTTGTCAATTAGACTCTGTCCCAACTGGACTTTTTAAGGAAGTTTTCCCCGATTGACAGTTTCTTATTAAATCAGATTAGCATGTCTTTGTTAACCAGCTATGTACCACATGCTTTTAAGGTAGCTGTTATTAAACCTCTGCTCTATACTATATACTCTTACTACACTACTATACTCTTCACCTTATACAGTATATGCTCCCCTTGCAACATCATGAGAAAGCACCACATACWTGCCCTTAACAATCAAGCCCCTTCATACATCAAAGACCTGATAACACCGTATTATCCAAATAGATCCCTCCGTTCACAAATCACAGGCTCTCTTGTGTTGCCAAGAGTCTGTAAGAGTAGAACAGGATGTAGAGCATTCAGCTACCAGGCTCCTCTCCTGTGGAACCAGCTCCCACTCTGGGTTCAGGAGGCAGACACCATCTCTGCATTTAAAGTTAAAGTTAAAACTAGTTCTGGATCAGGTGAGTCCTGAACCATCCCTTAATTATGCTGCTATAGGTCTAAACTCCTGGGGGAACTCCCATCATGCACTGAGCACTTCTCCACTTCTATCTGTGCCTTGAGATAATGTATATTATGATCTGGCTCTATGCAAATAAAATTGAATTGAATTGAATTGAATATATGTAACCTGTGTTAAAATGCTTTGCAACTTCTTAATTTACAAATAACAAAATATTTTTTACATCAGCACTGAATTATCAGGACTTTGAAAAGATTGTTCAAGAAACTAGGAAGATTTGTCTTCTCGTGGAGGAAATGTTTGGTAATGGTCGACATCTATGTCCTATTCAAAGAGAAATCTTCTCCAGAAATAATGAGATTGTTTCTAAATTTTAGAGTGAGTGGAACTCCAGCAAGCATTATTAATATGATCAGTCACTAGTGAAAACAGTTCATAACAGAAATAGATTAAATGGAAGAATGAGCTATTCTTAAGTTATAAGTTTCATTGAACAGGTTCAATCTTTTGAAATGATGAGTGTGTCGTTACTTTATTGTACATGTATGTGTCAAAAAAACCAAGCTTTTTTCCTATGTGGCCTGAATAAGAAACTTGTTGCAGTCAGCTAAAACACTTTGCTGTGTTGTCTTCAACACGTGAACAGTGTGAACTCTAAATAAAGAAGAGAAAGCAGAACCAGCTGGAGTTGCTTGAAATGCATTCTCACACACTGCGATGAAAGTCAACACCCTGCAAGACTTTTGTATCTATTCACATGAGTTTGAAATGAGAATAATGTGTAAACATTATTTAAATTAGTGGATGTCTTCACTGTTAAAGCTGCTGGCCGCTGTAGAACTGACATCAAAATGTGGAAAATGGATTTAACACTTGGACAGTAGTCTTATTTGAAATCCAATAAACTTAAATCCTCCTTTAAAATCTGCATTAACACACTTTGCAGAGAGATAAAAGTGTGAGGAACAGATGTTGCTTCTCTTCATACTCACACCCAGTGAAGATGTCCAGTCCACAGGGGTCCAGTGCAGGAGAACAGTTACACTGACAGCTGTATGTCCTGTTCTTTGTTATGTTCACAACCTTAAAAAATATGGTTGTAGAGTTCAGCTCAATGTGTCTCTGTGGTGTGGACGGGTGGCCACTGTACATGGATCCCCTGCACTTGCAGTTAAAGGTGCAGTACACGTTAAAACTGGTGTCTCGCTGCACCACGGCTCCGGCGCTGGACCAGATGGTGCAGGACTTCTCACCTAAAAGCAGATATAGTGATTTGGTTGACCTTAAAATGACGTGTCCATAATGTCTTATATCTAATAAGATAGTTAGATAAATTTAACAGATTCATTATTTGTTCTTTTGTTGTGTTTAGAGCAGATGAGGAAATGTGGACCTGCATATTTGTCTTGTACAAAAACGTTTATACAGGGAGATTTTTACAAGACTACTTAATCAAACTTTCATCTCCAAATCATAATCAAATAAAAGAAAATATTAAAATGTATCTCACATGCCAACACAAATGTTGGCAATGTGTACAGAAGTCTGAGCTTACCCATGCAAAGCTGCACCACCAGCAGTGTAATGGCGATGAGGACGGAGCATGTTTGAGACATGGTGAGTCGTCAGTAACAGTCCTGTTGCTAAGTCAAAAAAGTGCACACATGCATTAGCTCAGCCAGTCTTGAAATAAAGCAAATCTGGTGGTAATATGAAGGATTAATGAATATCATAGAGGTATGAGGACAGACACCAGATTAAAGTGCAGATGTCAATAATGTGGTAATAAAAAAGTTAAAAAACAAAAACCCTCAATACACTCACAGAGACATCACATCCCGGTAAGACATCGACCATGTCCTCTGAGCCTCATCCAGCTCTGTCCGTCATTGTGAGGCACTCAACAACATCTGTCATCACAGCTGCACGTCATGACTGATGTAGTGAAGTGGCAGCAGAGGAGACACTGCCATTGGCCCCGCCTCTGGTGTGGTACACAACAGTCACAGTTCATTAGTGAAGCCTGACGCGCCCCCACACACACACACACACACACACACACACACACACACACACACAGACACACACAGACACAGACACAGACACACACACACACACACACACACACACACAGCTTATACTTTTCTTGCACTTTTTCTTTTATTGTTGACATATATTATACACCAGATCATGCAGGTTTTACTATATCCTATTAACTTCTGTCCCTATGGGTACCTCTACAATGTACACAAAACAACACCACACTGACACCACGCAGATTCAGGTGCGATCTTATCTAGTTTAAAATCACATTCAGAGGAACTGATCATGATTCGTCAGATTGGTTGTATTGAAAATGAATCCATCAAAGACAAATACCCCTCAGATGAATCTTTATCGTAATAATTTCCATGCAGACCAAGTCTCTCACTCCGTCAGTCACATCCACGTGTGGTGCAGAGGGGGACTTTCCCCTGTCGCTGTACCATACTTATTCACAATGTAGGGCTCAGTAAGTGCTGTTCAACATTTTCCAAGTGAGAGATGTCTTACTACTTAAGTGTACTGACAAAGGAGAGACCCTCCTGAAAATTTGATTGCCAATGAGGAAGTGAGATAACTCTCAGGAAGTCCTAAAAAACGGTGTTAACTGTAGATGGTGCTTGTGGGGGCAGAAACATAAACATCACAAGCACATTGTTGGAACCTCACACAGAGACTGTAACAGACAAAACCCCGACTGAAGTTTTCGAATAATTTCACACTTCACTTTTGAACAAATACCATTGTCTCATATTAGACACGCGAAACATCTTCAGGAGTTAATACAGGTCTTGGTTCTGACATGTGCATGATGATTAGTAACAATTTCATATTATATGATTTATTAAGATTCAGTAAGGATTACTTTCCTAATGGTGAGGTGGTATGAAGAGAGCAGTGGTGGAAGAAGTACTCAAACATTTTACTTCAGTAAAAGTACAAATAAATACAAGCACACACAAAAGTAAAATGATCATTTTCTATTGAGTAAAAGTAAGCATGTATGTACTTTTAAAGTATTAAAACAGAAAGTTCTTGCAGAGTGTAACTTATTCCCTAATGCAAATATCATTATGGTTGAGTCTCTGCCTTTTCCATATACATTGTAGTTGTTTCTCCACCAGTGATGCTTCCGCTGCAGGTTTGCTTTGCTCTTGTTGCTCACTTTTAAAAATATAAAAAAAACATACAAACATGTAACCCAATGCTTTGTAAAGATATAAAATACAGGTATTTACTGATATACTATGTAGTGGAGTAAAAGTGAAAAGTAACTGAAAATAAATCTTCTTAAGTTAAGTACAGATAAATGAAAAATGAAGTACAGTGACAATGTAAATATACTATATTATATCCCACCAACAGACAGAGACGGTTGTAAAAGATGAATAAATGTTTTTCATTCGTTTTTCAAGTGATCATGTGATCATCTCACAAAGTCACATATCTCAGGTGAACTGGTGCTTGGGTAATGCTTTCTTGAACGTCAGTTTAGTGCAGATTGTCCTGTTTGTGTCGTCCCCATCGTCCCAGCTACCTCTGTGTGTCACAGAGTGTAGTAACCTGAGAGAGGTAGCCTCCACTCAGCGTCACCTCATCTGTATTCTGGGACAAACAAGTGTCTGCCATGTCAGGAGTCTGTACGTCACCCTGGTGTAACTCCAGAGAGGGACAGTCCACTTCAGCCTCGCTCTCAGTCCCCCTCCTCCCTTTTATAAAGCCTCTACTTGAGACATCTGTTGCTACAGGAGTTTTAGGCCACAACATGCTACCAACAGAGCTGAGGGTCAGTTCCAGAGGTAAATCAGAGAAATCCACCATCACACTAGAAAGCAAGCCTCCGGGTAATCCTCCACATTCACTTAAACATACTTCCTCATCCCCATTGGCTGGTACGCCCCTTGGCTCCTCATCCACTTCCCCTGTTTTTGAAGCCAGATTAGCAATATGAGGTTTGTAGCTGACATGTTCCATCTGCCTTGCAACAAGCTTCGTCCCAGTATCAGATGCTAGTGAAGGCGTCTCTGCTGTAGGTTGTCCTAATACAATGTGGGATCCTCCTACACTGATGGTGGGATACACGTCGTCCCTCTCCTCCCAGGAGATAAAACTGATGGGTGACAGCAGAGGGTCACTGTCCCTGGAAAAGAAGGACGGTTCACCTCTGTCCTGCTGGAGACCAAAATAACAAAGAATTAGATTTGATTGGCTCGTCCAGTCAGATTAATATACAGCAAATGTGGTGGTAAAATATATGATGGCCCTGAAGTGCAAATCATGTCAAATCACAAAACACAATGGTATATAAGAAAACATTATGGCATTAACTCGAAACAGAGGAACAGAAGCTTACAATCGACAACGCTCGTGGCTGATGACACAGACAGTGTAAAATTCGACTTGAAACGGCATCATTTACACCATGTTTATAGCCAAAAATGTCTTCTGATATCCTTCTTCGGAGCAGCATTTGTGCATGGATCACAGAGGACATTTAGGCTAAAAACATGTTGTAAATGACACAGTTTAGAGTCAAACCATTTGTTGATTTCTCAGAGAATAATTCATGGATCTTCATGAGGAAAATGTTAAGGACATTGATATTTACAAGATCCAAATAAAATTCATGAAGTAGTGAATATTTGAATGTGATTTTATAAAGGGACTATTGGGCCTTGTACTCTACTAAGTGCCATTCTTATTTCCAATTGTGTTTTGGGATTTATTGTTTGTGATTTGCACTTCAGGCCCACTGTACAAACACACATTATGAAGTTTTATTCCCTTTCAGCGGATCCCAAAGTTTTAACCAACACGAAGCAGCTAGATGTTGTCAAAGTGAAAGCAGAAACTAATAACTTACACCACCTTCTATTATAGTACAGAGTGGTAGATCTCAACAAACTCAAGAGTTAGTTGGTGTGAATATGTTTAAAACAATAACCTATAATTGTGCTGTTGTTGCTGGTGATCTTTGCAGATTCTAGCTGTTGCTGTACAAGTTATGCAATGACAACAGTTCACACAGAAATAGGAAAGCATGAAGGTGAACCGTGTTCAGTGGTCTACCTTCAGTAGTCTTATGGCATTGCTGTTTTCTGGTTTTGGTAAGTTTTCAACAAGCCAGGCAGGTCCCCAAGAAATACACCTCTGTTTGATCCTGAGACAGAAAGACAGTTAATCTTTACAAGTCTGATGAAGAAATGTCAGTATCAGCTGCAGTTAAAGTGTATGTTTGCAGAATTAAAACACAAAACGTCTTATCCGCAACTGTGATGTAAACTTGATGGCGTTGTCAGAACATATGAAGCACACAGTTTTTTTCTTCATCAGAATCACCGCATTTGCACAGTTTTTCTGAAATGGCTTGGGTTTGTCTTCATGTCAGGCATGTGACTTTTCATTGTGATGTGCGGAAGTGTTTGTGTGGTATTTCATGAAACCAACCACACTAACATCGATCCTGGTTACCAGAAAAACTAAACCTATGATCATTCAGAATCTTTTGCAGGATAACCTTATCACAGATATGGTTTGTTATGTTTACACCTGAACTAAATATCTGCACTATGATTAGTCATCGATGTTTTCCGTGAAACAATGATAGATATTAAATCCATATTGTTTGATACCTTTCCCTCACACAGCTCCAGCACATCAGATTGGCTGTGATTGCTATGAAGAGGGTGATGATGAAAACAACCACAATCACCAGGCTGTCTAGAAGAGATAAGAGACAGATTAGTACACTAGTTATCACAAGGTTAAGACATAAAGTTCTCTTGTTTTCCCAGTTAAAGCCTAATTTGGCTGGATGACGTGAAATGAAGAAGAATTGCCGTTGCAGGTTTAATGAGTTGGTGTGTGTGTTTTTAAAATGGACCAACAGGACGGCAGCAGGAGACTGACCAGCAGGAACTGCAGGCTGGGAGACAATCTGGCTGCCTTGCGGACCTTCTCCCGCTGAAGTGGACGCAGTAAGCTGTAGAGCCAGAGCTCCATCAGGACAGTCCAGCCACATCTGTTTGGGGCCAGAGCCAGACACCACCACTGGAGAGAAATGAAACAAATGAGGTTTTTTGTTAAATTGGCACTATTATGAGAATTTTTTTGGCCACTTGGTGGCAGTCGAGAGTAGAACATAAGGCCAATATATACGTTTTTAAGTTGAAACCGCAAACTTGTGAGCAAATATTTTATTTGTAAAACAACATACATGTCCATTTCAAGTTGTGTCTTGTTACCTAGGGAAGAAGGTTCCAATAGTCACTTAGTCTTTTAGATCTGTTTTTGGTCTCCGCCAGCTCCTGAGGGAAAATCTTGTTCTGCTAAATGCAGCACTACGTTCACAGCTATACAGCAACTGTGTCTATCTAAGAGCATGGAAATAAAGAAACTATATTTAAACTAGAAAATGCATTTTGTGAAGAAATAGCAGTAGGTTTGCTAGCTTGAATAATACTAATAAACAATAATAATAACTTGCATCTATATAGCGCCTTTCACAGGACCCAAGGATGCTTAATCTGTATAAAGACACTATTAAAGTACTAAGAGTTGCAACTTTAAAAAAGGGATGAATGTAGTGTTAGCAGTGTTTAGTGTCAAATACAGGCCTTTAATATTTTGAACTAGTGAAATTATGTTCATGATAATTCTATACATTATAGATAATCTCACAACCTCTACCTGTATATCAACTTTTGTGTGTATGTAAAAATCTGCATTTATTTATCTGAATGTTGGAAACTGTAAAACAAATCGATTGTCACAAATTCACAAAGTCTTGCATTGGACGTGTCATGAGAAACTCTCAGGTGCCTTTACACTTACACTTCCAGAAATAGTGGTGTGAAGCAGACTGGTTACTAAC